AAAGAATGGCTGTTATTAAGAAATCAACCAGTAACAAATACTGGCAGTGCAGTGGGGGAAAAGGAACCCTTCTCCACTGTTGGTTGGAGCATAGACTGGTGTGAGCCTTGTGGAAATCATTGTGGAGATTCCCAACAAACTAGAAATAGAGGTCCCATTCTACCCAGCTATTATCCTTCTTGGTATCTCCCCAGAAGAATTAAAAACATCATACCACAGCACTATATATACATCCATGTTTATAGCAGCACTGTTTGTATATGGCTAAATCTTGCAAACAGCCCAAATGCCCATCAACTGATAAATGGATGAGGAAGATGTGTTTCTTTATTACAATGTAGTACTACTCAGTCACAAAGTATAGACTTTAGACATTTGTAGGTAAATGGATGCATATTGAGACCATGTTCTTCGGGGAAGTAAATTGAACACACATGTGTAAATATTTCATTGTTTCTCTGGTGTGAGAAGCTCAAAGTAGGACCAAAATTTACAATAGATATTATGAAGTAGGAAGAAATGGTCAAAAGGGAAAATGAAACAGGAGGAAGGAAGGAAAGGAAGAAATGGAAAAATGAGAAAAGCAGGAGAAATGGAATCAAAGCTTTTGTAAATGAGGGGAAAAGGGGTTGAAGGGAGGGACGGGAAATTGGAAGAAAAAGAAAAATTAAGATATGTCACATACAGATACAAATTCCCTATGATGAATATGATCATTATGTATATGTGAAATCTACCAATAAAATAGAGACTTTCAAATTTAAAATAATAAAGCTGTACCATCTATAAATACAGGAAAACACCATAGGCACTTTTTTCCAGTAATATTTCTATATTGAATTGAAATATGTCTAGTACAATATAACCATGTTTACTCTTATGCGCTCCAGTACAATTAAAATGGTTTTATCAATGTATCAAATGTTTTCATCTGAAAAGACTAATGTGTAAATGATATTAGACACCTATTTATATGAGCATATATGCATTTTTATTTTGTACTTCTAACAACTCTGATGGATTTTCAAAAGAATGTTCACAAACAAGTCATGTACTCAAGGGACTATGTCTCCAAAGACTCCTTTTCTCATAAGTATAGTCTTGCTTTACATTGATAGTTCTTTGGTGTTTGCCGTTATTGTTGAAGTATACCCCTTTACAGGTAATAATTTTTCTTTCTATGGATACAGGAATATTTGTTTTCATTTTTATATTAGCAGTTCATGGATGGTTATTTTACAGTATTATTATTTGTTCTGCCTCCATTTATCTCTATGGTCAGTACTTGGTATTTTTATATACATCATCTTATTCAAACCAAGCTTTCTGTAACGTGTTTTCTTTAAACAAAAAAAATAATGATGAGCATTGAATAGCTT